ATCTCCCTCCTTCTCGCCGACGGTGTGTCCGTTAGCTTAAGGCTCGGTGTGTCCGGCCTTACCCCGGCTTCGGTGTGTCCGAGCCAACCCCTTGGTGTGTCCGAGGTTTATTCTTCGTGTCTCCATCCACTCCTCCGCTGTCCAACGTCGTCCTCTCCATCGAACATCCCTTCCACCATCACCTTCCATCGGTTTCTCTCATAAACCGAAGTTATCCCTCTTCCGACACCAACATCGGAAGTTCCAGCCCTCGTTGAAAGTCGAGAGCCTTCTCCGTGAAGGGCGAGAGACTGCAACTGAGATCAATCCCATCTATACGAGGTTGTGCTCATATCATTTTGGTATCAGAGCCAAGTCGAGCCAAACGAACGCATAAACCCGGTGAGATCACTCCTTAATCATTACTTTCGGTTTTGTTTACAATTGGACTGTTTTATTTTGCTACTTTCACTTGCGTGTTGTCTGTGATTTTGACAGCCCTCACACTCCCTCTTCGAAGTCCGCTCGCACCCAAATCACGGCTGCAAGGATCGCCCTCTAACCCCACGGTGAATTCCTTCCAACTTAGCAAATACTAGGGCGTTTTACGTGTTTTACGTTTCTGTTTTGTTGTTTCGTGTTTGCTGCGTGTTTAGTGAGTATAAGGCGGTCTAATTCCATTACATAGAACCTTAGGGTGAGGTGTGATAGGGTGATTCAAATCTGATCAGTTGTTGCATCAAAGAAACTTGCACGTTTTGCTATCGCATCCCGTCATTGTGCACGTCGCATCACTTCTCGTTGTCACTCGTGTCCGATCTGTGTATAACCTACCTTGATGCACGTTTAAAATTTCTTGATCATTGCCTCAACATCCTCTGTTTGGTTGCTTAATCTTGCACGTTAACATCTTAGTTTGAAGCACGAAGTTGAATCACTCGTTTCGCACGACATCTAGGACTGTTTTGTGTTGTTGCGTTGACATTGTTCTCTGTGATAGTTTGAGTGACTCAACCGATTTTGCTTACTGTTTGACACGTCTCTGTGAGCACGTGACTTATCCTGCATCATACAGTACTCACCTTAGTCATTCGCACGTTATAGGGCACTTGCATTGCACCACACACCTTGTACGAACTATTTGTTTCGATCGCAAGTATCTGTGTTCGTTAGGCGTTAGGTTGAGTGCCTAAGTGTTTGTTTTGCACGTTGGTTGCTGCGTGATTGTTTGTTGCGAGGTTGAGTGACATGAGTAACCACGAACAGTCACGTGAGGGTGAGAATATCGAATCTAGCGAAGGAGCAATCTTTCGGTCCCTACAACAAATCATGGACCGATTAGCTAGGCTAGAGGCTACTCGTCCTAACCCCCCACCTGAACCTAGGGAACTAGCTGCCCATCCTAGACCACGTCGAGACCACAGTCCCGGGACCCTTAGCGGTGACGAGAGTGACGTAGGCCCCCCTAGGAGGTTGCGCGAGAGAGTAGTAGAACCTGTGGTAGACCGAGACCGCAACCATAGGAACCGAGCCCCTAGGCACTACGAGCGCCAACCCGATGAAGGGTCTGATTACAACGAACCCCGTAGAGCTTATAGACTTCGAGATAGGATAGATGACGAGGGACCCGAATACGACGAACCACCTAGGAGACGAGCCCAACCAAGACCGAGAGTTCGGGCCGATCGTAGACGAGAGGCACCCGATGACTTAGATGATCCCTACTCCGTGCTTATCGCGGATAAACCGAGCTTAAGCTCAAGCCCCCTCTCTTCCTAGGTAAGGTAGATCCCGAGGCGCATCTCGACTGGGAGCGACGAATGGATAACATCTTTGGTTGTTATTCCTATTCGGAGCGTAAGAAGGTCCAATATGCGGCCGCCCAATTAGCCGAGAATGCCCTCACTTGGTGGGATCGTGAGGTTACTGAGCGTCAGCGAGGCCATTACGCTCAGGTCGAGACTTGGCGTGAGATGAAGAATCTCATGAAAAAACGTTTTGTACCTCCTCATTTCCATCGAGATTTACAATGGAGGTATAGGCGTCTAGCGCAAGGGTCTAGGTCGGTAGAAGAATACTTTGAGGAATTTGAGAGCATTAGAAGCCGACTAGAGCTAGACGAGGACGAGGAAACGGTTATGGCCCAGTTCTTAGACGGACTGCAGGATAAGATTGGCTGCAAGGGCGAACGCCATCCGTACCAAGGCCTCCAGGATCTCGTCCACCTAGCCGTGCAAATCGAGCAACACGAAAGACGTAAGTCTTCTAGGCTGGGTAAACCCCGAGCATACGCTTCCGGAACCTCTAGTACTCCGTCCAAACCCACATCCTTTAGGAGAGAGGTCCCCGAGAGCCGAACCGTATCGAGTTTCCGGGACAAAGGAAAGAATCCGGAAACATTGAGACCAAAACCACCACCCAAACCTCCAAAGGACACTAGAGCCCGTGAGATCATCTGTTACAAGTGTCGAGGACGAGGCCATATGGCCAAAGATTGTCCGAACTCCTGTGTTATGATCATAACGGACAAGGGGGAATATGAGTCGGATGAGGACGAGGCTGCTAACTCCGACTCCGATGAGGAGATCGAATACCCGGATCGCGGCGAGTTGCTTGTCACTCGGGGAGTACTTAGCACACTAACCACTCCGGAGGAAACAGCCCAGCGGGAGACAATCTTCCACACCCGATGTACTATACACGGGAAGGTTTGTGGGATGATCATCGACAGTGGGTCTTGCACCAATGTCGCGAGCGCGTACATGGTAAAGAAGTTGGAACTACCCACTGAGAAGCACCCACACCCGTATAAGCTTCAGTGGCTTAATAATACCGGGGAGATAAAGGTGACCGAAAGGGTCAAGATCCCGTTCAGCATAGGTAAGTACCACGACGAGGTCATCTGTGACGTCGTCCCTATGCAAGCCGGCCACATTCTGCTTGGTAGGCCTTGGCAATTTGATCGGGAGGTCAAACACAACGGTCGAGCAAACCAATACTCTTTCGTATACGACAAGCGAAAGGTTGTGCTCGCACCATTGAGTCCATCTCCAGTCCACGAGATGCAGCTTAAACTAGCCAAGGAACCCGAACCGAAGAAAGGGAATTTCTATCTTAAGGCTAGTCAGGTGGTACGTGTTGTTCGTCAAGAACATCCGGTGTTGCTCTTGGTCTTCAAAGATCAATTGAGCCTCCGTACGGAGACACCGTTGAGTCCCGTTATTAGCCGACTATTAGAGCGCTATAGCGATGTATTTCCGGACGAGATTCCGGTGGGACTACCACCTATACGCGGGATCGAGCATCAGATCGATCTAGTGCTGGGAGCACCCTTGCCTAATCGGCCCGCATACCAGATAAACCCCGAGGAAACCAAAGAGCTCGAGAAGCAGGTTCAAGAGCTTATGAGTAAGGGTTACATCCGAGAGTCCCTTAGTCCTTGTGTAGTTCCCGTACTACTTGTACCGAAAAAGGATGGGACTTGGAGAATGTGTGTGGATTGCCGAGCAATCAATAACATCACAGTTAAGTACCGGCATCCCATACCCCGACTTGATGACATGCTCGATGAGCTAAGTGGAGCCACGATCTTCTCAAAGATCGATCTTAAGAGTGGCTATCATCAAGTCCGGATGAAAGAAGGCGACGGATGGAAAACTGCCTTCAAGACCAAACAAGGTCTTTATGAGTGGCTCGTCATGCCATTCGGGCTTACGAACGCCCCGAACACTTTCATGCGGCTCATGAACCAAGTTCTAAGAGGCTTTATCGGAAAGTTCGTAGTGGTTTACTTCGACAATATTCTCATCTATAGTCAAGATGAAAAAGACCATATCTCGCACTTAGAGCAAGTAATGACCACCCTTCGGAAAGAAAGCCTCTATGCAAACCTTAAGAAATGCTCGTTCTGCACAAACGAGTTAGTTTTTCTAGGATTCGTGGTCAGCTCTCAAGGGCTGCGAGTCGACGGTGAGAAGGTCAAGGCCATTCAGGAGTGGCCGACACCATCCACGATCGGACATGTACGAAGTTTTCTCGGCCTCGCTAGTTTCTATCGTCGATTTGTCTGGGATTTCAGCAGTATCGCTGCTCTCCTTACTGCAGTCACTAAGAAAGACGTGGTCTTTGAATGGGGCGAGGCTCAAGAGCGCGCATTCTCCGCTCTCAAGGATAGCCTTACTACCGCACCGGTCTTAGTCCTTCTGAACTTTGACAAAACGTTTGAGATAGAGTGCGATGCCTCCGGGATTGGCATTGGTGCCGTCCTCATGCAGGAGAAGAGGCCGGTGGCCTACTTTAGCGAGAAGCTCAGCGGAGCTACGCTAAACTATCCGACCTACGACAAAGAGCTCTACGCTCTTGTGCGTGCTCTAGAGACTTGGCAGCATTATTTGCTTGCCAAAGAATTTGTCGTGCATTCGGATCATGAGACCCTTAAGCACCTCAAGGGACAGACCGCTCTTAAGCGTAGGCACACTAAGTGGCTTGAATTCATCGAGACTTTCCCGTACGTCATTAAGTACAAGAAGGGAAAGGACAATGTCGTCGCTGACGCATTATCTCGACGCCACACCCTGATATCGGTCATGGAGACTCAGATGTTTGGATTCGAGTAATTAAAAGATCAATATTCGACCGATCCCGATTTTGGTTCCATCGTCTCCGATTGCGCAAACGGTGCGTCGGGCCCATTCTATTTGCACGATGGATACCTTTTCCGCGACAAGCGGCTTTGTATCCCTCAAGGATCAATGAGGAATGTCATACTCCACGAGGCTCATGGCGGCGCACTCGCTGGCCATTTTGGAGTTGAAAAGACATTGGCCGCCATACACGACCATTTCTATTGGCCGCACCTCAAGAGGGATGTCTAGAGGTTCTGTGCTAAGTGCGTCAATTGCCTTAAGGCAAAATCCTGAACGCAACCTCATGGACTTTATATGCCATTACCGATCCCTACTTGTGACACCCGTAACTCGTGTACAGTATACGGGCTGTGCCACATGGACGATATAAAATAAAATAATAATGTGGAAGCAAAAATACGAAATCCAAAAATATTTTTAAACAAACCAGAGTAAGCAGCGGAAAATACAAGCGATCAGTATCGCAAAACAACACATGTCCGAAAAGTCATAACATAACCGTACAAAATGCGGGAATACAAGTCCCGGAGTTCAAAATAAAATCTCGTACATGATGCTGCTTCTCTCAGGCCGTCAGCATTTGGATGCATTGCGGTAGGAGTTCAAGTTCTTCTAGTGGTCCCCGATTGATGCATGATAGTAACTGAGTATGCTTCGGTTGTGTGTACGTTCGAAGCGTTCTAGGGGCTGCTTGGGCTGGACCTCTTTGGGCATTGGCCCCTCTCAACAGCTCTTCGGCCATCTCGGGTTGTTCTCTCTGTGCGTTGTTTTCTCTTAGCATTTCTTCGGCCATTCCCCACTGTCTTTGCTGTCTACGAGCGAAGCGTAGGGTCCTTTCTATTTCGGGGTCGAAGATGAGTTGATCTCTACCGGTTGTGCTTCTTGTCATGCACCGGAAGAGCTGCACACCAAAGAGACAAAACGAACCGAAAGTGCTGTGAAACGGTTATGTCGCAAAGTAATCCAAGCAAATATCCAAGCAATGGTGATCTAGCAAAAATCTAGACTAACACGAAAACGCCTAGTCCCCGGCAACGGCGCCAAAAACTTGATGCGCACGCACCGAGTCTTATATTTAATACCCGATTCGTACCACTATCCGCAAGTATACGGTAGTTGTAGTACCGGGGTTGAACACGAGGACTAGGATGTATTAGTCTATCTCTAAGCTAGATTAGGTGGTCAAGTAAAAATGTGGTTTGTGGTAAGGGTCGGAATACAAGAAAGCAAGTAAAATTAACGGTTTGTAAAACGATGGTTTGAGGCGTTGTAGGTTCGGGATCCCTCAAGAATCGCATGGATGGTTAATGATGCTACAATGTCTATGGGTTATCCTCCATATGGGGGTTTCAAGCACTTCTTCTAGAGTTTGTCTCTCCCAAGCTTAAACTCACTACCTAGAGGATCGATTCACCCATCTCCCAATGATCTAAATGATCTCTAGATGCATTAGTGTACCCTATCATGAACCCTAAGCAAGTTAAGCCATCTCCCAATGTGAATAACTCACTCATTTGACATTTGGTTCCAAACATCATTCCCATATCCCTATGATCAATGTGTTCTACAATCATATCAATTAGGGTTTCAACCAAATCAATAGCATTAAGCACAAAACATCAAACCCATGGAAGAAACTCAAAGACATCATAGATTAAGCATAGGTATCCATACAAAAGTGGGGATCCCTCACCCACAACAAAGTCACTACTCCATAACTAGGGTTTCAAAACAGAAAGCAAAATGAAGAAACATGGAAAAGGAGAAGAAATGCTCAAGATGGTCTTCAATGGTGGTCCTCCTCTTCTCCTAGCCTCCTTGATCTCCAAAATCCCCCTTTTCTTCCTCTCCAAGGTGATTTTTGCCCCAAAGTCTGTAGTCCCCTCTCTCTCTCCTCCAACTCCCCTTTTTGTCCCCCAATTGGAAGATAAACCCATAGGTATTGTAGCATCACTAACCGTCCATGCAATTCTTGAGGGATCCCGAACCTACAACGCCTTAAACCATCGTTTTACAAACCGTTAATTTTACTTGCTTTCTTGTATTCCGACCCTTACCATAAACCACATTTTTACTTGACCACCTGATCTAGCTTAGAGATAGACTAATACATCCTAGTCCTCGTGTTCGACCCCGGTACTACAACTACCGTATACTTGCGGATAGTGGTACGAATCGGGTATTAAATATAAGACTCGGTGCGTGCGCATCAAGTTTTTGGCGCCGTTGCCGGGGACTAGGCGTTTTCGTGTTAGTCTCGATTTTTGCTAGATCACCATTGCTTGGATTACTTTGCGACATAACCGTTTCACAACACTTTCCGTTCGTTTTGTCTCTTTGGTGTGCAGCTCTTCCGGTGCATGACAAGAAGCACAACCGGTAGAGATCAACTCATCTTCGACCCCGAAATAGAAAGGACCCTACGCTTCGCCCGTAGACAGCAAAGACAGTGGGGAATGGCCGAAGAAATGCTAAGAGAAAACAACGCACGGAGAGAACAACCCGAGATGGCCGAAGAGTTGTTGAGAGGGGTCAATGGCCAAAGAGGTCCAGCCCAAGCAGCCCCTAGAACGCTTCGAACGTACACACAACCGAAGCATACTCAGTTACTATCATGCATCAATCGGGGACCACTAGAAGAACTTGAACTCCTACCGCAATGCATCCAAATGCTCAACAACATGAGTTTCCGTGGGAGACCGAATGAGGACCCGAATGCTCACCTCACGAACTTCAAGATGAACTGTAAGGCAATCAAGAAGGGACCGGGGATTACTCTTGAAGACGTATTCCTTGAAACTTTCCCCTACTCGCTTACGGAGAGAGCTAGAGATTGGCTCTACACTCTTGAGCCAAACTCTATCTCGACATGGGGTGAGATGGAAGAGCAATTCCTTATGCAATACTACTCCCCTACCAAGACTCAACATGCAAGGAATCGGATTAATGCTTTTGTGCAAGAGGACGGGGAGAATCTCCATGATGCATGGGAACGCTTCAAGGAATATCAAAGAATGTGCCCTCATCATGGAATGGAAAGAGACTACCTTCTATCCATCTTTATCCATGGGTTGAAGGACGATACTCGGTCTTGGATTGATGCAGCGTGCGGAGGTGACATATATGACATCCCTTTCCAAGAGCTAGAGGCAACAATTGCAAAATTGGCCAAGGGACGCAGCCATACGTCCAACGAATTCAGTAGGAGAAGCTCAGTGAAGGGTGATGTGGGAGAAAACGCAG